CGTGAAAGCTTGCTCCAAGGATTGTCAAAACGGTGTTTCTTGGACTTAGTCTAACGTTACCTTTCTCTACCAAACAATCAATCCAATCGGTTTCGATCCACAACCAATATATTCACCTCGATTATTTCTCAATCTCAGCCACAAAGGACAAGATAATGGTGATGATTTGTAACGACAAAGGTAAGAAGAAAACACCACAAATGAGGCAAATGAAGACACAAAAATCCACCAAGGAATCCACCATTTTGGGTACCACGAAGGAGCCGATTTTTCTCTTCTATGGGGCAGTCGAATTCTTCAGTATTCACACACAAATCACACACTAAAATGCCTAGGGTTAAAAACCATATAAGTTGGCTAGGTTAGACTTTTAGTTGAACCAATAAAAAAGGCCAAACGGGCTAAGATTTAAAGCCATCCAAGAGGGATATAAATGGGTCGGGTAGAGCCCGTGGATTTGGCTGTTGATACTTATTTCATTCATCAGCCTATGCCTATGAAATATACATTTTCACGTTAACATCATAACCCGTGATTTATTGAATATCAATACCCAACAAAAAGTAAAGATTCTAATATATGGACATTTGATATTTTGAAGATATATGGCAGTGTATATAAAAATTCAGAGAAAATCAAAAAGTTAGAAAGTTACCCAAAAGGAAACTTTATTTTGACTACATTATTTTTTTTAAAGAATTATTCCTTATTCGTTTAAATATTTATCGCGATAATTCATACTTTACTGTTAAATTACGGTCAACTTTGAGCTTTTAAAATCTTATTTTATATATAAGTTCTAATTTTGCAATGCTAAAAAGATTAAATTGGCTAAACTTTGAACAAATATAAGAATACTCATTATGATATTAAGATTAAAATCGATATAAACGTTAGTGAAATCTATCCCGTCTAATATATGTTTCTTGTGAAAGCCTTCTATTTATATTCATACTGCCTTGGGTGAATAACTTTTTAAATTTCTAATTCTTTCACGTGATTTAAAACATTGCAATGATAAATTTTGAATTATGATTGCTTAATGTAAATTCTGGCATCAAATGTGCAAGGTCTTGCAAAAATATGTCGTTTAATAACCAAGTTTCAGTTATTTTATCCAAGAGAGGAAATTGATTTCAATATATCTATTTTTTATCTCGGTAATCTGTACTTTATTGTTCAATTATTGTCAATTTTGAGTTCGTAAAATCATTTATCATACAGATAGGAAAACAGTATCTCTCCCTCCCCTTCCATTCATTGTTTATAATTATGAAATTTCAGCTTATACAGTTAAACTAACTATCAGGTAGTTCATTCTTTTGATGTCAATTCATTGAATATAGCTGAAAGTAAGATCAAATTTCGACTTATTGAAACATAGATAATGTAAATTAGTAGATAAAACAAAATGAAGTATGCAGATACAAATCTTCTTAAGACAAATTTAGCCGCTTGCATTGATGCTAACATAATCAAACGTGCGCCATTTTTTTTCCCAGATATAACGTCTCTTCCAAAATTAATATGGTACAATTTGAATGAACCGAAGCTTGAGTGTACTTTTTTAGATTAGATGATAATGAGTACTAAATATCAAACAATAAAATTCAATGTATCTTCTCCCAATGGTCGCATCTTTTGGCAAATGTTCATTTTGTTATGAAATGCAAGAAGACAAGGATTTAAAGTTGAAAAAAGCCTTGTATGGTTTAAAACAAACTCCAAAGGAATGGAATTCTAGACTCGACAAAGTTCTTCAAGTTAATGGATTTATCAGATGTCCTCATGATCGAGCTCTCTATCAGAAGGTAAACATTAATGGTGATATCTTAATTGTTTTGCTTGTATGTGGATGATCTAATTTTTCACACAATAATTCAAGATTATTTGATGAGTTCAAGAGAATTACAGTGAAAGAATTTGAGAAAAATGATATCGAGCTAATGGCTTATTATCTTGGCATCAAACTGAAACAAGAGAAAGAAGGAAATTTTTATCTATCAAGAAGATTATACTAAGAAATTTTTTTGAAAGGTTTAAGATGGATGATTGCAAGTGAATTTGCACCCTCGTTGATTGTGGAATAAAATTGTTAAATGTGATGAAGGAAAAAAAGAAGTTGATTCGATAATAAGAGTATTGTTGAAAGATTGAGGTACTTAACATGTACAGGACTTGATATTTTGTTTGGAGTTGGTCTTGTTAGTCAATACATGGAGTTTTCTACAACTACACATTTGAAGACTCTGCAAAGAATTTTGTGATACATTATAGGTACTATTCACTATGGTTTCTTTTATTCAAACACAGATGATTTCAAGCTTGTTGGCATAGCGATACTGATTGGATCGGAGATAATGATGATTGAAAAAGTACAAGTGATCATGTATTATTTAAGATACAACTTTTACATGATCATTGAAGAAGCAACCCATTTTTTTGCTTTCAAGTTGTGAAGCAGAGTACGTTGCTATTGCATCCTGTGTTTGTCAAGCAATCTGGTTGAGAAATCTGCTGAAGGAAGCTAATTTACAGCAAAGTGATTTTACCAAAATTTTCATCAATAACAAGTCAGCATTATCGTTGGTCAAGATTCAGTTTTTCATATACGTCGGCAATAGTTACTTTTATTGTAGTGGCACATCAACATGACGTATCATTTTGTTCGAAATTGTGTTGACAAACAATAGTGGAATTGAAGTTTATAAAATTTCAGGACAAAATCACCAATCATTGAAAATTGATGCACTTTCGAAGTTTGCTTAAAGTTGCAATTATGAAGTTTAAGGGGAATGTTGAAAATTAAACATCATTTAGAACCATGCTGGCCATACAGCCCTGCTTCTGCACAGGCCACACACATGCAAGGGGGTGAGTGAATTTTTTTTTTTAAATAATCACCCATCCTCCACCCCACCCACCTCGAATGTGTATGGCCTGTACAACCCACAGCTAGCATTTTCCCATCAAGTTCATTCATGTCTTTTGTGATTATTACATGCATACTACATAGATTAAATGCACTAATTTATTAATGTACTTGGAATATCTATGAATTATTTTTGATGATTAATTTGCATTTACTATCAAGTACATCTAATAGATTATATTCATGTTTTGTAAGGCCTAGAAAAAGCTAGTGAATGTATTCATTTTAAACAAGTCATTTTAAAATGCTAAGAGATAAAGTTAGTGTTCTCTTGAAATATTATCTTCTCGTCTTCTAAAAATAGTTGTTCTATCTTCAAGTTTCCAACCTCTCACCACTTTGTCGTCCCCTTCCCACCGTAGAAAAATCCCTCAACCACTCTCCATACTTCAGTGGCACCCTCCCATCATCCTCTCTAGCACTTGGTTGTACTCAACCCAAAAATGGTGCCCAATCTCCCCACAGTAAAAACAAAAATCTGGAAGTTTTACATATTGCACCTAAATAGTAAACTCATTCTTACCTCACCCATAATGACTAGTGCCAAGGGTACATTTTGGAGACGAATCCAGAAAAAAGACTGAGAAAAATCCATGCTCGAAGTTTTTGCCAACCCTGTTGGCTGAATCAACACAATAAATTGTTCGTAAAATAGCCATGGACCGCCAGTATATGTATGATTTCGGTCCTCCTCTCTCTCTCTTTGTTCACTAAACGATTGCCAAGCGCAGCTTGCTCAAGAGACAACGATCCATTCTCATCGTGGCTAAATGCAAATTTGCACGACATACCAGAGACAAGCTACATGCAAAAAAAACCACCTTAACTGATAAGAATTGGTTGCGAAAAAGACTCCCACGGGGAGGAGGAGAACTTTCACCCAAAATGTAGCCACTTATAGGTTAATTTTTTAGAGGGAGAAACTTTTAAGTTCAATTTTTATTAGGAGCAATGTTTTAAAAATCGGCCCCAATGTTGAACCGAAAAGAAATTTTCTGGGCCTTTTATTGCTTTCAATGTATTGGGCAAAAAAAAAATAGTAATTTTTTATAGGAAACAATACATAACTCCTATATATAAGAATTACATTTCAAAATTGACAAACTTGTCAAATTATTTCAAAATTCAAGTGTTAATTCTAATTAATAATATATATTTAATTGGAATTAATTATCTCCATCGCACCACCCCAGAAATATCCACCTGGCACGATACTCAATGCTTCCAGTAAGCATTTGGTTGGATAAATAATTTATTTATGTTTTTTCACTTTTGGAACCCCACCAACCCACCCCGCCCCTTTGCAGAAATCTCCAATTTTAAAAAACTTTTTAGAAAAGATTGAGGCCTACAAAAATTCAAGACACTTTCTCTATTTACTAAAGTTTTCTCTTTCTATATACACATTCACAAACATAAATAGAAACCCGCAATTTTAGGGAACTTTGCGGGGAAGATTAAAGTCTCCAGAAATTCAAAATGCTCTCTCTCTCTCTCTCTCTCTCTCTCTCTCCATCTCTCCATACACATTTACAAACACAAATAAAAATCCACAATTTTAGGGAACTGTTTAGGTAAGATTGAAGCCTCTTTAAATTCAAAACGCTTTCTCTCTCTATGCAATGGCAATTGTGTTTAAGAAATAAATATGTGTGGTAGCTGTGATGGTGTGTTACAGGTGATGCTAGTACATTGGAATTGATTTGTGTGGTAGTGATGGTGAGGTGGTAGCAAAGTTTTGAATACTGTGTGTTGACTATAACCAAATTTGCCTTCATTATGACTGTTTGTGACCAAATTAATTTTAACTGTGACGATATGTGACCAAGTCACTGTTAATTTGGTTACCGCCACAACTAGTTATAATTAACACAAACTTGGTCACAATCGATCACAATTAATACAGATTTGATCACAGAGGATTATCACAAATAAATTCGCACACACTGCAGACTAACACTACAACACATATAGTCATAGTTGATCACAATTAACACAAAATTGGTCACAACTAATACATACTTGGTCACAGAAGGTCACGACAGAAAAATCTACACCGGCTACAGACTAACACCACAACGTAAACAATTACATTCAGTCACAATTAACACAAGCTTGGTCATACCTAATCACAATTAACACAGATTTGATCACAGAAGGTCACTACAAATAAATTGAACACACTACAGACCATCATCACAACTTATCATCACCATAACCGAAAATAGTAAGCCATACCATTTTTTTTGTGATGGTTAGAATAATCTTTATCAATTACAACCCATTTTTTTGTAATAAAAAAATATGCTTTTAGAGATCCAAAAACATCCCAGTAAGGAAAGCCCTCCTTCCAGTGGCAGAAATTCAAACATTCACAGCTCAACAACACTTGATAAAGCCAATTTCGTTGGCATTGCTCCGAAAGCACTATCTGCAGCACATGAGCACATATTTCCTAATTATTCCCACTTCACTCTCAAATAACCCAAAAACACAAAAATAATACTGACTACATTTCCTTATTTTTGTTCTCAATCTATCAAACCCAAAAATTATTCCAAGTTCGTGTAAATCATTTTTGAAGTAAGATACAAAACAAACCTATCAATAACCAAAAAGAAGAAGAAGAAAAGAAACAATAGCCATTTTAACATAATGACAACATTCAATTAAAAATTCTTTTGATAACATTCAGAAACTTGACTAATTTTCTTAAGGAAGATAGAAAATTTATATATGAATATTGCACCTGTGTGGCTCTCTTGATGAAACTAGGTAAAAGTCCACTGACTGAATAGAATCGGCCTAGGTTTGGGGGCTTCCGTTGGAGTTGCGGGTGGGCTCATAAGCTTCGGAGCTAAAGCATATGAAGGTGAAGTGTGCCTCTTGCTCTGAGACAGAGCCTTAGCCGAAGTCTCACTTTGGTGCGTAGAAGCCAGATCTGGTGATGTTGATGCCTCGAAAACTGGAGACGGTGGATAGTGGACTAGAGCAGTCGACAGTGGTAAGCTGACTGGCTCGAATGTTGGAGGTGGGCTCACTAGAGCCAACATTGAAATAATTTTCGACGATGATAGAAAAAGGAAGAGAGACGAGAGAAGGTAGATGAGAGAGAAAATTGGAAAATGAAAAGAGTGGGTGAGTGGTTATTAAAAGGATGTTGTATATAAAACGGTTTTTATAATAATTCTGTGCTAATTAATTTATTAATTTTTAATTAACACCTAATATGTGAAATTTAAACTTAACCTCCTTATTTAAGAAAATTAGTCTTCAATTGTTGGTTTATAGGTAATTTTCCCCTTTTTTATATCATTTTTACCAACCGGCAAAATTGGATAAACCATTTCCGGTTCATCCGATTTTCGGTTAATAGGTTAATTGGTTGATTTTTTTTACTAATTTGAAATTTAGTCCATGTTAGGAAGAAAATAAAATTCAGATTTTAATTTAAATTAAAGTCAATAATTAATTTTAACCACCTATTCCACGGGACACAAAATTTTTCAACCACACAGAGGGTTGGCAACGGGGCGTGTGGGCATTTTCCCACCCCGTGCCTGTCTAGTTACCCGTTTTAAGGCGGGTCAAGGTCGAGTATGGTGGAGTGGGGCGATTGCTTTTTTTAAGTACTTGTTTAATTTTTTTTTGTATATAATTCATTTGCCTTCATTCATTTAAGTGAGACAATAATACAGTTATTAAGCCCTTGTTTGATCCTCATTTTTTCAAGAATGCATTTTTTTTAAACTCATTTTCAACCACACATTCTTCTATAAAATAATTATACATGAATTTTAAAATTTTTCCTTACTTTTTAACCACATATTCTCCAAAAAATTACTATTCCATAATTCATTCTATCCCAAAAATGGGAATCAAACAGGGGCTAAATTTTTAATTATTTAATTTATTTTTAAAATTTAAATTATTCGAATATATTTGGTAAATTAAGATTTTTATTGTTTATCATGTTCCTTAGACAATCTTAATTGCAATCTTCTATTAGAATTAATGAAATTTCATGGAGCTTTTTCATTTAAGTATTAAATTCTATATTTAAAAAAAAAGGTATACAGCACGAGGGCAAGATGGGCCCCTTGTTACTTGTATCCACCTCGAGCCGAAATTCCCAGCCTGTACCTACCCCGATTACCTGATTAAGCAGGCAATCCTCCTCCCCCCCCCCTTTCGGGGTGTGGCCTACGAGTATCAGTTTGATTGGTATTTTTACCGTCCCTAAACACACATTTCATCAACTTTTATCAAATATTATTAAAATTCAATTTTAATTCCTAGTCACTGATGATAGGCTGAATGAAATGTGAGATTAAATGAGTTATTTAATTTCATATATCATTTAATGTCACATCAATGCTATCTAGACTGGGGTTATAACCCTAGTGAGGATACATAGCATTATCCTATTTGAAATTCTGCACTGGCCTAGACATTTTAATTGGAATCGAAATTCCCAAATCGAAAACCGAACTGAAATAAGAGGTTCCAGTTCGGTCAGGGGTGGAGCCAGAAAATGATGTTAGGATGGGTTGAAACTTAAAATTTTTTGAATGAACTTACGCCACAAGAAATCGAATTTCGGAGGCTATTTTCATAACATTCACAATAAAAAGTATATGACACTCATTAAATAAAAAAAAAGTTTAGATATTTCACATTAAGATATTCCACTAAATTTTTGTATTTTTTTACCAAATAAAAAATCACACTTACCTTGAAAAATATAAACTAACTGAATTATAATAGAAAGAAGCAAAAATACATATCCACCAACTGAAATTTAAAAAATTACTCAATATGTACTCTTCTAGTAACTTTAACAATCAATCTTTCCAAATAGGTGAAGGTTTACTCAAATATTCTTTTTATACGTAATTGGCACAAAACATCCCTACCTTTCAAACTTATTGTGGAAAGCATCTATACCTTTCATTTTTGCCCCTATTTCCACCTTTTTTTGTGCTAAACATCATTTTTACCATTTTTTGACGTAAAATGACCAAAATACCTTTCTATTTAAACAAAACAAAAAGAAAAGAAAAGAATTGCAACTATAAGCCCAAACTTTTCATATGTGCAAATCAGCCCAAAATTGAAAAAAAAAGGTCACTAAACCACCTTAAATTGACTACCACTTTGAAGCCAAAAAACTCCGGTCAACCACCGCCGGAACCATCGAACCTCATTACCGCCGGATAGCCCTCACTCCCCTTTACACATACCACCCAACATCCAATTACCATGCCAACAGATTTGGTAAAAATTGCAAGTCAAAATATAAAACTCGCAAATTCAAATACGAGGCAGCATCACCTGTTCCGACAAGACTCATAGCATTTCCAACATTTTGGTCGAATATACACACCAAGACGTCTCTGTCCATGGTCCTCAAATGTCATTTAATTCACGCAATCAAACCAAACAGGCTGCAGCCTAGAACACAGTTATTTCGCAGATTTCAAGCTAATTTTCCTGCGCCAGTGGTGGGATCCATGATCGCAGACCACCACCTTAAGTACCTACTCCTCACGATGCATCCAATGAGCATATAGGTCTTCCCCAATTTTGCCTGGACATGACAGTTCATTCAAAAAACGGAGAAAACGCAAATCCCTTCTACCCATTTCAATTGGTTTTCCTCCACATCTACAATCAACGAATTGCTCCAGCTAGAATACAATTCAAAGTGTAACGACTCTAGGTAGTGAATCAATTGCAGTAATTCACCATTCAAACTAAGCAATTTAGGATTTTTGATCGGCGGTGAAACGGGAGTGCGGGGGTGAGGTGTGGAAGAAGTGTTTTTTTTTTTCCAATTTCGGGCTGATTTGCACATATGAAAAATTTGGGCTTATAGTTGTAATTTTTTCTTTTCTTTTCTTTTTTGTTTTGTTTAAATAGAAGGGTATTTTGGTCATTTTACGTTAAAAATGATAAAAATGACGTCTAGCGCAAAGAAGATGGAAATAGGGGCAAAAATACCAAAAAATGAAAGGTATGGACATTTTCCACAATAAATTTGAAAGGTAAGGACGTTTTGTGCCAATAAAAACATAAGTAGTAAGTTATTGTCGATATCAAATCAGTAGTAATTAAGTTATTTATTTTGATCATAATACTATTTTATGGTTAAAATCAGTTTATATATATATATGAACTAGTAATAAATAAAAAAATACGTAGTAATAAAAAAATTAATTACTTTTAAATTTAGAAAAATATATAGTGTCTATATCCATTAAAATGAGTAATTTACTTTTAGATCTAATCAATACAAATTATCTATAATAAAATTTACTTAATAATTATAAGTAAATTTTAGTCAAACGCACATTAAATAGAATATCTAATTTGATAATAAAATATTCACATTTCATGAATGCCATGAAAAGAGTAATTAATAATTGTAGTGTTTTTAATACAATTTGAATAAGTGAGCATTGGAGTTGGGTTAAAATTTAAACTAGAGCTAGACGAATATTAATATTTGGACCAAAAGTCTACAATTCTTCTTAAATATTTATATGGGCTAGGGGGATAATGCTGGGCTATAGCCCAACAATGCCCCACTCTATCTCCGTCTCTGGGTTCGATTCCCAAAAAATAAATTAGGAACCAAAACCTAGAACCAATAACCGATTGGGTCTGGCTTCGTTCCTAAACTAGAACTACGGGTATCCGAGTAAAATCGATTTTTATATAATTTTTGTTTACAATTTATAGGCTGGATAAAAATATATAAAACCTAAAAATCCAAATTTGGGAAGTAATTAGTCTAAAACTCTAAACTCTAACCCTTAGAAAATAAAGATTGGCTCTTACTTTTTTACATCTCGTCTCATGTCAGATTGTTGCATTGTAGAGGTTATTACATGTTAATGTTTACACTTTGGGATTTTTATAAATAAAAAATTTCAAGCCGGATGTGATGTAAGTTGATGAATCAAAACATTCATTATTTACAAGTCAAGCTTTTTACTTTCTTCTATTGTTTATAAACTTAGTGGTTTTTTAAATTTTTCATAGTATATAGTAATTGAATTTGATATATTCATTATTTGCACTATGTTGTATCTTTTTTATTATCTTGAGTTCGTGGTTCTCTTTTTAAATATAGTTCTTATTTTTTTTTAGTCAAATAGAGCGAGTTCAATATGTGGGCTATAATTTTTTTTTATATTATATAGTTATGTATCTAATTAGCATTTTTTATGTCAATTTATTTTAAGAGTAGGAGAATTTAAGCATTATTTATAATTAAACTATATCCTCTAGTATGCCACGCTTACGGATCGAATGAAATTTATTAAGAAAAATAAATTTTTCTCAAATTATAACTTAATTTTTGATTTTTTTTTATTCTGCTATTTTTTTTGTTTCTACTATCCAAAATTTTGCTTCTTGAAGATTTTTTAAATACATTTTCTCCTTTACACAAATATTTTTGAGTGGCAACATTGTAGATATATGTACAAAAAGGGTTCTATGTGAAATAATTATTAAATAAATGTATATAAAAATGTTATGGGTAGAATCAAAATCGAATCGGGATCGATGGTTCGGGTTTGGTTTTTTAACTAAGTAGTCAAGTTTGCAATTTCAAGCAAATACAACCACAAAATATCTTCTTCTTCTTTTTCAGAGTACGAGGTAAACAATAGGGGATACTAAAATTTAATCTGTAATATGATGAACTAAAAAATTAGGCAACATAAGTTGAACCAACTTCCAAGAATCACGAATTGCTTTGATCTACAGGACACAATTAGGGAATGTCACGCGATAATTAAGCCCCCATTTAACAAATTTTTCTTAAAGATTATAACCTATTTAAAATTCTTGTCACGCGTTATATATTTTTTAATCACACAATGCATGAAATCCACCAATTCATAATCTCAAAAAAATTTCTCAGGCGGGGGTAAATTGGCATTTTGTACCGAAAGCTGCAAATTGCATAATGAATTAATTTTCAATATTAATAGAGCTCATTTAAAAACAATTATTACACTTCCAAGTTGCAGGTGATAATATAAATTTCCACTAGCCACACTACACTAACAGGGGCCATTGACAGGCCCCTGTGAGAGGATCTGAATTTCAGATCACCTTGTCTGAGCAGAATAATTCAATTTCCACTAGGCAGTAAAGATAATTGATTTGTAGCGAAATCAATTAACAGCAAATGAATGTGACAATTATAAGATAATTTCTTATTTATGCAAAAATATGAAATTAAAAATGAGCTATGGAGTATGATCAATTTGAATTCTGGAAAAAGTCGTCTTCTAATGATAGTGAATAATAGGGTTTGTAAAGTTGAAGATTTGTGAAAAAAAAAATGATGGGTAGAGATACTTGGCCAAGGCTATATTGTTTGAAAGGTTGAAGATTCATGCAAAAAAGATGGGTAAAGATACATTGGCCCTAGCCATCCACGACCCCCTACCAATAGGGGGCACCACATGGCCAGGGTTAATGTGGCTCTGGCCATGAAGCACGGCTCAAAAAAGATTGGGAAATGTTGATGACAACGTGATTTTCTCCAAAAATTAAGGAATGATATATTTTCGTCCTGTAAATTGGGATATTACCATTACAATTAAATAATTAATCCCAAAAAATTAAAATATGTTCCCGTTTGGTGGGAATTAAAATCAAGATTTTAATCTAATTCAAAATCAACAATTAACTTGGAGCACCTATTTCGTGAGATCTACAACTTTTCAACTACATATTACTGTTTATTTTTTTTTTTTATCAAAATCTTCTAAAATTCTAATTTTAGTCCCCATCAAACAAGACCATACTGATCGTAATTATATAATTCAATCGGCATTTATGAAATTTAAAAAATGTCTCAGTACGTTCAAATTCTTGAAGGAAAAAAAAAAAAAAAAGGTACGAAGCCCAATTTCCACTATTGCAAATCAATATATTTATATTGGACCAAACGAGTGCTAGTTTCGTAAATTTCATGTATTAAAAATAATAATGAGGAAGCCCAACCTAATCCAGTGACTAAATGGACTTACGAACTCAATTATAAAAGGCCCAGCCCATGGCGTGTGAAAGCCCAGTAGATGCCAAAGAATATTCCTTTTATTTTGTAAACAGAATATCTGATTCCGAATTGGCTACTCGGAATTATAATATTTTATCTTGTGCGTTAAGAAAAGTAGAAGACAGATACTCCCCTCGGTATACCCGCCTCTGTTAATATTCCCCAATCACCAACATAAAAAATCTTATCAGCATAATGTTATGTTGACTAATATACCCTCCATTTTAATTTATCTTTATAAATTCTAGCAATCTGAATTAGGGTCCCAAATTAATTGAACTGAATATTTGTTCGAGTTTTACTTTATATTGTCAAATAAGCCCAAAATCCATTTATGTGTTTTGTTAGCATGTGCTCACATTTATCGAATCCACAATTATTCGAATAATTAATAAAAAAATTTCTAATTTTCTTCTAGTCTTCGACGTTTTTGTAATATCAAATACCATAATGTTATTATTATTATTTTATTAGTAGAAGATTCAAGGTTTTCCTAACATGTGAGCTCCATATGTAGTGATTTATGTTCATATTAGATATGACAATTGATCATGGAATCCCTTATTTAAGGGCTTTGGCCTCTCTCATGAAGTCCATAGTTTCATTTATAGAGGCTTCGGCCTCTCTCATGAAGCTTCATTTGAGGATGTTCGCTACTTCGACACCCTTATTCAAGGGCTTTGATTTGGTCGTCGTGATGACACAGAGTGTAGGGCTACGTTAATGTCCTAGATTATTGCTATGGAGCCTCGTCAGATGAGAGGTAAAATATAGACTTTGTTTGATTCCCATTTTTTTTTCAATATATATATATATATATATATATAATTTTTTTTTTTTTTTTTTTTTTCAATCATACATTTTTTATTAAAATATTATTATACGCAAATCAAAAAAATTTCCTCATTTTTCAACCACATTTTTCATTAATCTACTATTTTAAAATATATATTTTCGTAAAAATGGGGCTCAAACATATATATAATATCTTGAAAAATATATTTCAATTGAATTGAACTATATCTCTGGCTAAAGTATAAAGGGTAAAAGGGTCATTTGGAACGAAAATATGAAGGAGTGGTATATCTGCAATAATATCAAAATTGAAGGGGAATCTTGTACCGCCCATCTCATTCTAACTATAAAATTCCAACCAGCATTTTTCAGCTCCTACGGTTTTCTACACGAAATCGATTTTCATTTCCAGAAACTCTCAAAAAAAGGTTCAATAATGGGGTCAAGATACGAAGTCGAGGTCACAATCTCTTCTGCCAAGGACTTGAAGAACGTCAACTGGCGACACGGCAAGCTGAAGCCTTACGCTGTCGTTTGGGTTGATCCAAAAGCCAAGTGCTCCACCAGAGTCGACGAGGAGGGCGACACATGTCCTTACTGGGACGAGAAGATTGTAATTCCGTTCAACACTCCAGTGGAGGAATCCACCCTCCACGTGGACATCGTGCATGCCGACTCCGTTGAGGACACCAAGCCACTAATCGGCTCGGCTAAGCTTCCGCTGCGGGAAGTAGTAGATGACGTCGGATTTGGGAGCCGATTGGAGAAGAAGCTCGAGCTCAAGCGCCCCTCTGGACGGCCACAAGGGAAACTGGAAGTGAATGTTATTGTGCGCGAGCCACGCTACCGTGCGCCGGATCCTTACTACGCGCCGTACGGAGTCCCTCCACCGGGGAGTAGAGACTACCCTGCAGCACCACCACCATACGGTACTCCATATGCAGCTCAACCGCCGTCGGGTTATCCCTACGGTGCGCCTTCCTATGGTCAACCAAGTTACGGGCAGCCAGCTTATGGGCAAGGTGGTTACTACGGGCAGCCGGGGTATGCGGTAGAGGAGAAGAAGAAAAGCAAATTCGGTGGGATGGGAACAGGATTGGCTGTGGGTGCGGTAGCAGGGGCGTTAGGTGGACTCGCGTTGGCTGAGGGCGTTGATGCACTGGAGGACCATATTGCCGACGACGTGGAGGATCGTGTGGAGGATGATTTGGGATTTGATGGTGATGATTTCTAGAACGTACTATGTTAAAATGTCAAAAAACTGAGAAAATAATTTTTATTAATTAAAACTTTATTAATATATTTGAGAATGTGATATTTTCTCTGATAATTTTTCTCTACTGTCTATATGAAGTCAATGGTTAATGAATGAGTCGATTAATGCCACTTAATTTGAGCGACTTCTACATGTATCTAAAGGAGAAGTCAATGATGGAACCAAGACATTTGTAGAGTAATATTTAAAAAAAGTCATTTTAATTTCTAACGTAGATATGGGATATTTTGATTTTGTTCAAAGTTTAGAGATGAATAAATCGCATAAACACTTTTCTATATTATTGAATTGGCTTACAGGAGTGAGATCGAGCCCAAGATTGTCTAGCGTGTCTGTTCTGATATTGTTCAAAGTTAAAGAGCAAGTTGACTTAAATGAATTGGATTCTACTAAAAACAAGTTTGTGTTGCATTACATATAATTTAAAATTTCTTTAGAAAATGGTAATAGTTGACAAGTGTTATATAATGGAGATAGCAAGTTGCAAATTTCTCAATCTTGACACGGGGAGGTAATGATGCTAAAAATAAAAATAAGGTTACGAAATTGACAAGATCTCTGTGTTAGGGATTTATGATTTTAAACGCCATCCAAGTTCAACAACTCCACCAACAAGAAAGTATTCAAGTGTGAATATTTAATTACTCTCCGAGTCTCTATTTCATTTTTAGCACTAGCAGATAAATTGATCTTCGATTCATTCATCATCCTAACAAGTGAATTATTAAAATTCATTTTCTTCAATATAAAAGCTCTATTTCATTTGTAGCATTAGCAGATAAATTGCTATCGTGCTGAGTAATTAGGTCCAAATTTTAGATTCATGGAGCTCGTAATCCAATTAGTCAGTTAGTCAACCTTATTATGACATTTTCTCTGTTTCATGGAGCAAGGGAAGTGATGAATTGAGACAATTCATATTTTCTAAAGCAATTTCAATAAATTGGGCTTATCTTTCGACTAGGGAAGGTTCTAACTTTTAATTATATAAAATGGTAAAGTGCATGCCTAAAATTTTATTAATAAAATAGATGAAGTATATTCATAAAATTGTTATATAAATCGTAAGCATTATTATAATCTATTAATTAATAGATGAAGTAAGAAATAAAAATACTTGTTCAATAGCGAAATTGACGCGATTACGGACAAATTCAAAGAAGAATATACAAGTGATTAAAGAATAAACGAACATATTTTCTTGTTAATTGTGAAACTTGTGAAAAGGGGAAAAAAATAAATATCGAGATCACACTATATATTTTTCAAATCGAAGCATACCCAAAGAACATAATTTTACATTCCTTGTGCTGGAACTCTTTATATGTTCAACACCCATATAACAGCAAACACCTTAATAATGAGAATTGTATAATCCTCGCAACATAATTTGGACATGGATGGATCCAAATTCCTTCATGTGAGGTCGGCTTACCCCACATAAATTTGTGAATTTTTGGTTTTTCACTTTTCATGTTCACTTTCTGCCTTTCAAATTCGCTTTAATCTCGAATCTTATTATTCTCTCAATGCCTAGGTTAACCATTTTTATCAAATAATTTCCCTTTTCTACTCGGTTCATCTGCATCGATATTGGCAACCGACTGACAATTTACCTAACCACAACGCCAAACGTCTCAAAGTCCTCAACCCAGAGAATTGGATTGATAACCGATGGTTGCAAGATAGTGTAATTGTATATATTAAAAACAATGCATTGGGCAATATTAATAAAAATGTAATTATATGACAATTTCAAATTATGGAAATAAATAGGCAACTGATGTATTGTATTATTTTCATTAATGTTGTGTTGCTTAAAAAATTACTTAATTTTTGACTTTACAATGAATAATGTCTAGTTCCATCACTGTATTCGACAGTATAATGTTTTCAATGCAACCAGAAACAGGACAAGTAGAGGATCATAGACATGGACTTTCAGGAGGCCAATACAAACGTAGCTCAGGCCAAATCATACACTCATTTTGGACACTTGTACTCGGTTGGAGGAAGAAAAGTTTAATGTGCGCCCGAGTTTTGGTCCGCTATATCTGCTAGGCTTCCTTCATATCGACTCTTTATGGAGAATCTTTTTGATCTAGATCAATGAATGGTGTCTCACATTGGCGGACCTACTCATGGTCCTAGTGGCTCAAATGACCCACCAACTTCAAGAATTATTCTTTTTTCTTTTTTTTTTTGTGGTTTTAGAGCTAAAAATCAGAATTGGGCAATAATAGTAGTTTGGCTTTTCTATTAGAATAAAGTTACAACATGACTGAATAATTGAAAGAGTGAGAGTTGAGATTAATTTTTCATTTACGATATTTAATTTGAGAATTCTTTGAAAATTGTTATTCATTATATATGTGAGATTATTTAGAATTCTTTGAGAATTTTATTCATTATATATATGAAATTTGTGAATTTATGATAGTGATCACCTAGCGGCTCGGCCCTTCAATCCACAAGCTCGTAGCTTATGAAAAACGAGCCGAGCTCGAGCTCGGCTCGTTGCTTGAGGACAAGCTCGGCTCGTTGCTCGGCTCACGAGCCACTAGTTCGTGGGCCCAACCGAGCCCACTAACCGCGCGAGCTCTTTTTTTAAAAATTATTTTTTTGGCACATTTTTTGTATCTCTTTTTTTTTTTTAAATTCAATTTTTTGGACGAGCCCACGGGCTCGTCAAAACGGCTCGTGGGATCGAGCCCCCTGCTCGGCTCCGGCTGGGGCTCGTCAAGTCGTCCACGAGTCGAGCGGCCAAACCGACGAGCCGCTAGACCCGTTTGACATCCCTATGATCACCTGCATGTGTTCTTGTAGAATACATAAATTTTAATAACTTTATATAAAGTTTGATTGTACCCCACTAATTTCAAATGTCTGCATCTGCCACTTATGTCTCGATCCTAGATTTGACTTGCAATGATCAACCAGATAAGTTCTCTCTCTTGTCAACTAATTTTCTATCAACACCGATGCTTTCCGTTTATATGGACTTTTGCTGAAAGATATTGATCACATCATACCCGTTCAAGATACAAATATGTTTAAGATCCATTTAACCCCCTCAAATGATGGGCCATGTTGTCTATCTCCATAAGTAAACTATTGGTAACATTTACACATATAAAGGAGTTGCAAAATATAATTTCAAAATTAAGAAATTAGTTTTATTAATTCAAAAATAGGATTTTAATTAAATTTTAGTAATTAAATAATTAATTAAATATATTTTATTAATTAAATATATTAATGTCACAATATTATATAATTTATGGTGTATAATCATAATTCTAGATGTTATAGTTACAAATCACAAATTTTATAATTCACAACTTATTTCTCGACCATAAATTATCAAATTAATTGATCACGTATTATTTCTCGATTACAAGTCCTAAATTTTATAGGTCACAATTTATTAAATTATTAGACCATGTATTATTCCTCGATCACAAATTTTATATGTCATAATTTATTTATTAGTAAAAAATTATCAAATTAATAAGTTATTTATTATTTTTCTATCATGATCACAGATTTTATAAATCACAACTTATTTCATGGTTACAAATTAATTGGTCAAATATTATTTTTTATCACAGATTATTAAATTAATTGATCATAACTTGACAAATTATGAGTCATAATTACGAATATAATCAAAATCTTATATTTTTAGGTTATATATTATTTATTGGTACAAATTATCTATTTTACCAGCCACATATTATTCATTACTCACACATTAACCAATTTATTTGTGACGATCAATCAAATAATTGATCACAAATGCTTCGCCACCATTTCATTGTCATCAGCACCACAACCACCACTACCCAATCATCACCACCAACACCTCACCAGCATCGCCAACATTACCACCACCTCACCAATTCTACCACCGCAACTAGCACCTATTGTAAACACGACCGACAGAACCCACCTCAAAACCACTGTCGTAGCCGAAGCCATTGCCAGTGTCATTCCCACCACCACTCCGATATTTAGAGCCATTGCCATAGCTAAAACCACTACCGAACCAAGTGCCACCATCACCTCTAACTCTTCCACCTTCACACTTTCCTGCTTCACCTGACCTATATCCTGAACCAGGGCCCAGAATAGTAAGCAAAATCAAAACCAATGTTTATAAAATTCCATGATCAGACCGACCGATTCAACCAGTAAAATTGGGAATCAGACCAAAATCCAGTCCAATTATGCTAAATTAATCGGTTTATTAATAACCAGTCAAATAACCCAAAAATCGGTTTATTAAACCGAAAACCGGGAACCGGTTACTGTTTTTGGATTGGTTTCCAAAACTTTTTTTTAAAAAAAAAATTATTTTATTTTATATAGCCCCTGTTTGAGTCACATTACATTAAATTCTATTACATTTCATTTTTCTCTCTCCTATTTTCAACCACACAATCTTCCATAAAATAATATTATACGTAAATCGAAAACTTTTCATTTTTTTTCAACCACTCATTTTTCAAAAAATACTATTCCCCCCATTAATTTTTCCACGTAATGAGCGTCAAAAAGGGGCATAATAAAAAGGTTACTTTGGAGATGGAAACCCATTTACTCATTTTATTTATTTATTTATTTATTATTATTATTATTTTTAAACCTATGGAGTTCTTTTATAACCATTTCTCGAATCCCATAATCGATAAACTTCCAATGTTGGATTGACAAAATTTAATAAAACACACTTTCAATGTGGGATTGGAAAACTTCAATAAAGCACATTTTTAAAAACATACATTTAACACATATTCGTATTTATTTTGAATTGATGGTGTAAACATCTAATTATATATTGTTGTGAAAATAAAATTTAAATGTTTATAAATATTTATTTATCACCTCCGATTTGACCTCGAACCTTTCTCTTTATCGGGTCGATACTCGAGTTGGGTTTTAAAACATTGATCAGAACCATACCCCAG